CCCTGCTTCTCTAGCGATTGACACCGTCTCCGCAACTGAGGCACAATCACCCGAGGACCATATTCCCTCTCATGATGACAGGAAGCTCGTTGCGCAGCCTATGGAGAAGCGTCATTTCGCGGGCTGGGCCAATTTTTTTTAGTATCTGGACAAGTATCAAAATGAAACGTACCAAGTCTTCCACAAGAGGACGTCTACGAGTGTCGAGGCAAGAAACACGGACCTCACGCGCCGTGGAAAGGCTACATCTACATTAATTATTCCAGCTTCTTCCGAAAAGTATTACCAGCAGATGATATGCACGCATGGATGGTCACGGTCAAGCCGATCTAAAGGGAAACGAGAGAGCTATTTTATGAAGTCGACACAATGTCAGGCGCAGTTGTCTCTTACAGTCGTCTGGGTTGCTGATTTAGGCTTCCAGGTGAAAGTAACTCAGCAATCCACTGTCCACAATCACCCTCTCGGTCAACTCACTTGTGCCAATCACCCTGCCAACCGTCGAGTTGAAGATGCTGACATCCTCGGCTTCGTCGAGAAGTTGCAGGCGGCTGGAGCGAAGAAAAAGATGATCATGGAATATTTGATGCGGAAATCAGGTACGCCTGCTATTTATTATGAGATCTGTACCGTTACTAAACTGCATTTATTATAGGCAAGCGAGTCACCCTAAGGGACGTACACAACATGGTTGCCAATATCAAGGAAGCACGGCGGAGAGCTACAGCGGTGGAATCTAAGCTGGATTGCTTTTTCCGTGATTTTTGTTCTCAGAAGGGAAACACAGCTACGGTCTATGTCGACGAAGATAAACTGGCTCAGACGATCACCTTTCAGACTCATCAGATGCGCCACTTCTTTGAGGCTTTTCCAGAAGTGATGATGGTGGATGCCACCCACAACATCAATGACGCTCGGTATAAGCTGCTTAGCTTTATGATTCATGACGTATTCGGCCATGTAAGTGACAACTCTGTGATTATTTGTGGTTCTTTGTGACGCACAGTGTGTCATTGTGTCTTTTGGTGTCGCTTTGTGCCCCTCGGTGCTGTGTCTTTGCTATTGTGATTCTTGATGCCTCATTCTGGCTTTTTGTGATCTGTGTGTGAATAGGAACAACACGTTCAGCATGCACTGATGGAAAATGAGAGCGCTGAATGTCTTACGGACGCCGTCACGTCTTCCAAGACATCCAGCCCTACCTGGGATAAAATTCGTGTCATCATTGTTGACAAAGATTTTGGTGAAATTTCGCTTCTTCGTGCAGAGCTTCCTGGTGCTCGGATTCTACTTTGTGTGTTTCATGTCGTCAAGTACCTCCGTACTGGAATGGCTAAAGGGATTATGAAGCTTTCGATCGCGAAAAAAGAAGATGCTGTCCATATGATGCTGAATGCTCAGACGGAGCTCGAGTACGATACAGCTCGGAAGTGCATATACTACGTTGTGGAGGGACGTGAAATTAAATTAGATCAAGATATTCCAAAATCCCTGCACCCGTTCCTGGAGTACTTTGACAAGAACTGGCATGAGTGCAGAAGAATGTGGAGTGGGTTTGGTCGTTCTGACGTACTTCACTCAGGCAACACAACAAACAATCGGTAAGAATGTTTTTGCAGATAATATAAAAATGTACTAACTTCAACAATGCTCGGTCGCTTTAGTCTAGAAGCTGCGTGGGTCATTTAAAGGATGTTTTGAAACCGACAATGATGCTAGACGAGTGTGTGGATACTCTTCTTTTCTTGCAAGCAGTAGCCGAACTCGAGTATGCTAAAAAGATCACCGACGTCGGCTACATGCGTTACGGGGGGGGGGCGATGCAGAGCTCGAGAAGCTAGCGAAAGTGGTCAGTCAGCACGCCTATCAACTTGTTGAAAAGCAATATCGTGTGGCGAACGACAGGACGACGCACTACACAATCCGTGAGCTACAGAAGTCTGTGTTCGAGCTGACGTCGTCCGAGGATTCGACGCGCTTATACCACGTTGATACTAGGGTGCGTCCAATATTAATATATACTTTCATGACAAAACCTCACGTATCTTTTATCTTCATATTTTGCAGAGCTACCGCTGTTCGTGTACGTTTGCGAGGACTGTACTACTGCCATGTCGGCACGTGATTTACTGGGGCCTACTTTCGAACAAGAGTCCTTGTTGTTGTTTTCCGTTAAGACACTTTAACCCACGGTGGTGCTTGACATCCCAATCAAATTTACGATTGGAGGAATGTGAAGTTTCAGGGGGTGAAGCAGCATGTAGTTTGTTCCGGGTTTGTGAATCGTCGCTAAACGGATGTCACCATCGTGTGCTTAACGGAACGAATAAGTTTCGTACGGCTTACAGTGTTGGTTGTCTTATAGCCGATATTATGAGCCGCAATGGGACTCCAGTTTACAAGGACATGCTGGGGGCACTAAAGAAGTTCAAAGATATTGTGAAAGATGGCGTGGCCCCACAGATTATATCGGTTTTGGACTCATCAAGTGAAGATAAGAGTCACCCTGATAGTGTGGTCGGTGTACAAAGTCACTCTGAGCGTATACAACGCCACTCTGAGCGTGTGTCCGATGGCGAAAGCCACTCTGACAGTGTGTCTTGTGATAAAGGTCACACTGGCAAAGCCGTGCGAACCCCCTCTGAAATGTCGGTGCACTCGGCAAAGTCTACACTTACGAAGTGGTCAAAACCAGACGACCACCGTAGCTCTGGATCAAGTGATGACGCTTCGTTTTTTATTTCAAAAAGCACCAAAAGTAGAGAGCGTCCGGCTATCAGAAAAATCAGAAGCGAAAAGAGAAGAAGCTGCGAATGGAAAAGTCAAACACGGAGGCAAAACAACTGATTTAAGGCACGTTAGCACCGGTATCAACGTTACCAAATGTTGGAACAGTGATAGATTCAGCTTACAGCTACGAGTCAGCTTTCGAATTCTTACCCCTCTTTCCAGTGAAGAATGTCGGTCCGAGAAAGCAAGCCATAGCCACGTCAGCAGCACCACAAAAATGTATCAGCGCAGTCAAGTTCGTGGTGCCAGAAAAATTTCTGTTAAAGTGTACTCGATCGCCTGGAGAGTTCAAGAAGTCACATTCAGACGCTGATATAAAAGTTGGTGTTCGAGCTACAAAAGTGGGGACATTTACCGAGTCTCAACTGCAACTGATGACAAAGTACTATCGCATAATGGAGAAGCTCTCTGCTGTTTCTGATACCGTCGATAACCTTTTGGCACGTCTAGATGTACCTGACGAGCTCTATGAGTACAAGAAATTGGACAAGCTTGCTGCTGCTACAGCGATTCAGAAAAAGGTTATTCCCATGTCCCAACAGTCGAGTTTTGGAACGATAACGAACGAGTCACTTCTGCTGTTTCGTGGGGATACTTGGCTAAATGACGATAGCTTGATGCATGCAATGACATTCATAGAAAATGCAGTTCCAAAGGTGGAATTAATTTCTCCAAATGGTATGGGGTGTGAATGTGAGGAAACCAAGCAAAGCATCATTAACAAGACCCAGCCTTTTTAAGAAGGCAACGACATCGTATTATTTCCGCTTCATTTCGATGGCAGCCACTGGTGCGGCGCCGTCTTCGATTCCCACACGTATCCCCAGACAATAAAAGTGTATGACCCTCAACAGAAGAAAAAAATGTTTGGATTTTTGCGAAAATATCCTTAGGGCTATATTTCCTGAGAAGGTATCCCTGATGTCAATCATTCACGTGAAATCACTGGAGCAAGGCGATGGAGTCAGCTGCGGGCCACTGGTATTGCACTTCTTTGAGTGTACAGTCCGCGGCATTGCTCTTCTAGATTCTGTTTCAAACGCCATCCTGTGGTATATTCGGTTGCGGTATTTGCTGAAGATACCGCATGTTTAAATTGTTTAAATATACATAAAACCATTGAAAGGATACGTCTTATACGCTTAACCCACATTTTCCCTTACTTATATGATTTCCCGCAAGAATGATAAGCTGGGTAGCGACACGACAGACAAGACCTTGGTTCTCGTCGATAAAACTCGTAGATAACTCTATCTTTTTCACGCTTTTGGCCTCCGTGCAGGGGTAGTGAAGCTGACACGACATGCCAGTAAAAAATCATTAAGTCAATTGTACACTCACGTAACATTTCATTTCGAGCCAGTGTACGTGCTACATTCAAGCTACAATTAGATTCATGCGCATACCGTATTTGAGATCTCCTACTTCAGAGTGATCTCCTAATTCAGACTGCCCTCCAACCAATCACATATCGAGAATGGCAGCGCACAAGTCTAGATCTCCTAATTCAGAGTACAAAAAACATGCTAAACTGTAGCTATCCACCAGCTCATTGCCAGACATTTGCAATGGCGCGCACTCCCCTCACGCTCGGCCAACGGAAAGGGAGAACCCGTATTTCTGGCACTGGCAAGCCTCCCAAGAAGTTCAAGCGCGTTGCCATTTCATACGCCAACAAGCTTTCGGTTGTGGAGTGAGCCTGATTGGGAGCTGCTACGACGGTTGCTGGAAGAAGTGCCCGTAGTGCGCCATGCTGTGGATACGCGTCACGACATAGAAAACTTCGTAGTTCCCGAAGAAGAACTTGATAACTAATTTGTTTTGTTTAAATAATACGTGATAGAGATGCGTCGGTACGTGTACAGATCTTGTGCATTTTGCAACAATACAACTTCAAAAATATTGGGTCTGAAGTAGGAGATCTCAAATACGGTACACCCCAGAAAGTCTATGATTGATGAAATTTATGAATTCAAATTACGTAATTTATGCTCAGCGTGTGCTTTTTGTGACTTTGTTTATCTAATTGTGCCCGCGTGGTGCCTTTTATATGCACTTAAGTACGAAGGCACACACTCATAGTGCTCTAACTCGTTATTGACGACAAAGGCACCGAAATTCTTCACAACTAAAAAAAACTTCACGGCTACTTTATTTACACATACCACGTATACAGTAATGCCCACACCCAAAACCAAAGCTTTTGGAGTTTACGGAGACTTCGCTGGCGAAGCATTGTAGAACTCCGAATACCACTCCCACGTCTTCGCCAGACCCTGCTCCAACGGAGTCGTAGGCTTGTATCCCAGCAAACGCTCGGCTTTTGAGATGTCTGCGCTCGTACGGGGCACGTCGCCAGGCTGGTCAGGCAAAATGTTGATTTTCGCCGTCTTGCCCACCAGTCCCTCAATAATGGCAATGAAGTCGGTGAGCAACACCGGCGTGCCACGACCCAAGTTGAACACCTCACAGCCATGACCACGATCCAGACTCAGCAGCACACCCTGAACGATGTCGTCGATGAACGTGTAGTCGCGAGACGACGAGCCGTCGCCGTACTGGTCAATTGCCACATCACGTGCGATGCGGTCCATGAACTTGAACGGAGCCATATCCGGACGGCCACGAGGTCCGTACACGGTGAAGAAGCGCAAGCCGATGGTGTCCATGCCGTACAGGTGGTGGTACGTGTGCGCCAACAGCTCGCAACTCTTCTTGGTCGCGGCGTACGGACTCACCGGGTAGTCTACGATGTCCTCCTCGCTGAAACTCTCCTTCATGCTGCCGCCGTACACGGAGCTGCTGCTTGCGTACACGAACTTCTTGATGCCAAACTCTCGGCATGCATCAAGTAGCAACATTGTGGCTACCACATTAGCCTGGATGTACAAGAGGGGGTTGTCGATACTGGGACGCACACCGGCACGGGCCGCCAAATGCACCATCGCATCCGGCTTGGTCTCCTTGAGCACGCGACGGACCAGCTGCTCGTCGCACAGATCACCGATGTACACGCTGACGCGGTCACCGTAATTGGACGTGAGCCAGTCGAGGTTGCTCTGCTTAAGCTTGACGTCGTAGTAGTCGTTCATCTCGTCCACAATGACGACGTCGTCTCCGCGTGCAAGAAGAGCCTTGGCGGTGTGGAAGCCGATGAACCCGGCGGCACCCGTCACGAAGATGCGATGACGTGCATTCCCCGCGGAAGTACACTCGTTCACAGCAGCGAGTAGATCAGACACTTCAAACGGAGTTGGGGCCATTGTACTTTAGCCTCGATCTGTTTTACTGTGTAGTGTAGTGCTTGGACTGTAACTGAGAAAAGGAAAAGTGAGAACCTCATGGCAGCTATCGCTGCTGTTCACGTCGATTGACGAACGTGTTGATCCTGAACAGGTGCTCCGTAAAATAGCGTGGATGCGTCCCATCGGAAATGGTGCTGAGGTGACGCGGTTATTAATAGGCGATCGTCAACAAAGTTTCAGATAGCCTCAATAAAATCGCAGCTAAAACTTTCCCATTTGGCCTGCACGAAGAGCACGAAACCAAATCAACTTCTATTGGCGTGTGTTTGACTTTCTGAAGATTATGTTTCTTTTTACATGCATTTGAAGGATTTGTGTCACATCTTCAGCAATACCAGGAAACAGATGACACAAGTGTAGTGCCTCGAAGACAGGTGTGCAGTACCAAGCACTGCTTGCAGCGATAGGCCTATCGCTGCTTGGTATTAGGCGGCAATGTCCAGGCGCGTGCCAGGCTTGGCAAGTTGCCAATGGCAACAGAGCTTGAAACTTCGTGACGAATCTGTTCACACTCCTCGCCTCTACGTCAAGAAAACATGTCGCCATGGCGCGCTTGGTATAAGCTGAACCTCAAACTTCTGGTGGCTCTCACGAACATCGTGCCATCCCATCTGACTCGACACATGATCTCTGTATTTACTTCCCGATACCTGGCGACAGAGAATTGTCTGACCCAGAACACTCCATTTGCGAATCGATCGTCCAATAATATTTTTTCCATAGGTACAGTAAAAGCGCTATATATACTGTAGTATCAAAGCGCTGCACAGCCTCCTGCAAAAAGAAGCGTCAGAAAGGTACCATTACAAGAAGTTTTGCTTTCCAACAGATCCTGTTAGAAATCTGATAAAATCACTATCATCTAAAGAAATACAGTACTGTCTGATTGCAAACTCGAGCTACAGTGTATTAATACATGTACATGTACATCACTAAAGGACGCTACAGCTACTATTTCATATTCTAATATGTATTATACTGGGAGCCCCGAAAAATGAGAGAAGGCACAGTCCCCAACGGATGAATTACCCCCTAAAAGGGGGTTCAGAAATTCCTTTTTTGTGTCATTGTTTGGGCTCATCGTCTCGAGAAAAAGCCTCCGGAAGCTCATTTCTCGAAGCGATGAAATGTTAAAAATCATGACAGAAATGATAAACTGAAGCCCCTTAATAATGTACATGATTCAATGTAGCATTAATAAATAAAGTATGTGTTATTTAACATGTACATGACTCACTGTAGCATTAATAAATAAAGTATGTATTATTTAATAGAGTGAACAAGGTTTTAAAATAGAGTGAATATATCACCTGACTGAGATCGAGGGGGGTGAATTGGATTGTAAATCAAAACGGAGAGGACCAACAGAGGCGAGCTTTCCAGCAAGCCGGGCACCGCATTCTCCAGGTGAGAGAATCTTTTTATCGCAGGAGTGCAGCGACTGCATTTGCGATGCCCAGCGAAGGTGGAGATGCGCTTAAAACACCCGTCTGGGGATTGTAACCATTTGGATTTAGTAAGGACAAACATTTCAATCGGACGTGCCGTTGTTTAGACCGTCCTGGTCCCCATACAAAAATCAAGCAATTTACAGACACAGTTACGGAAAGAACCCTGCTGCTCCATTTAAGTCCGATGTCGTGCCTTTAGTAATGTGAGCTTTAGTGGCCAAGTGTTAAATCGGGTTTGGGGTCTAGGACCCGTCTTGAAAACTTCGATTAGAGACCACAATGATACCGGAGGTAATAATCAAGAATACTTTTCTGATGCTGGTACACGTACAAGGTGCAATTACGCGCAAGGCGATATATACTACATACTTCAATTGCAACGTTTTAAAGAAAAGAGTGTACTACCCTAGCTTTTCACAAAAAATCAGTCGAAAATTCAGTTTTATCGTGAAACATACTCTTCAACTTAAGAATCAACACCATTATAGCAAATCCACTCCAACAACATGTTACATAACAGATTAAAGAGGCCCAGCGTTGTAGAACTCCGAATACCACTCCCACGTCTTCGCCAGACCCTGCTCCAACGGAGTCGTAGGCTTGTATCCCAGCAAACGCTCGGCTTTTGAGATGTCTGCGCTCGTACGGGGCACGTCGCCAGGCTGGTCAGGCAAAATGTTGATCTTCGCCGTCTTGCCCACCAGTCCCTCAATAATGGCAATGAAGTCGGTGAGCAACACCGGCGTGCCACGACCCAAGTTGAACACCTCACAGCCATGACCACGATCCAGACTCAGCAGCACACCCTGAACGATGTCGTCGATGAACGTGTAGTCGCGAGACGACGAGCCGTCGCCGTACTGGTCAATTGCCACATCACGTGCGATGCGGTCCATGAACTTGAACGGAGCCATATCCGGACGGCCACGAGGTCCGTACACGGTGAAGAAGCGCAAGCCGATGGTGTCCATGCCGTACAGGTGGTGGTACGTGTGCGCCAACAGCTCGCAACTCTTCTTGGTCGCGGCGTACGGACTCACCGGGTAGTCTACGATGTCCTCCTCGCTGAAACTCTCCTTCATGCTGCCGCCGTACACGGAGCTGCTGCTTGCGTACACGAGCTTCTTGATGCCAAACTCTCGGCATGCATCAAGTAGCAACATTGTGGCTACCACATTAGCCTGGATGTACAAGAGGGGGTTGTCGATACTGGGACGCACACCGGCACGGGCCGCCAAATGCACCATCGCATCCGGCTTGGTCTCCTTAAGCACGCGACGGACCAGCCGCTCGTCGCACAAATCACCGATGTACACGCTGACGCGGTCACCGTAATTGGTCGTGAGCCAGTCGAGGTTGCTCTGCTTAAGCTTGACGTCGTAGTATTCGTTCATCTCGTCCACAATGACGACGTCGTCTCCGCGTGCAAGAAGAGCCTTGGCGGTGTGGAAGCCGATGAACCCGGCGGCACCCGTCACGAAGATGCGGCGACGCGCAGCTGTGGTGGTCACTGCGCACTCTGCGAGCGCGTCGGTAGCTTGGTTAGGCGCCATGTCTGATTATGTGATGCAAAAGCTGCCTGAGCAGAGGATGGAAAACTGAGGAATAAGCTGCTGTGTACGTACCCCACGTCTTGCACCAATAGTGACTTGCCGTGGGAGTGACTGGAGACCATCACTCTGGTTGCGAGGTCGCAGCCAATGGCGTGTTGCCGTTATCGCGCGGGCCAATTACAGAGCCACAATTTGTGTTAGCCTAAACAGGAATTGGCTGATTCGTGATCTACTTATCTTCTTCGAAGTACATTTCGCGTTTGCAACCGACATTTCCGGCTGCTAGATTCTGTCCCAAACAGATTGCCTGAAAGAGCTGAAGACGAGATCAATTCGAGGATGGGGCGCAATTGTAGCGGGGCTGCAGGATACGCACAGTGCATGTACAGCCGTCGACTGCGAAACTGTGCTAAACCAGGCGATGCAACTGGCAGGATGATTCTGAACCCAGCAGTTCCGGCAGTTGCTAACTGCTGGGTCTTCTTCAGAAATCATCAACGTTGACATGTGAAACGAAATAAATGCGAAGTGGCTACGGACACCGAATGTATGCACCATGACGTTGTTGACTGTATTGTTCCCTGCCGAGCATGTGATCGACCAGCGCGCCATGATACATGTACAGTATGTACTTGTACCGGTAGGATCACTCGCTGATTGCTCCTTTTCGGGTGAGTCGGCTGTGCAAACGGTGCCCCACTGCTGTTTGCCAAACAGTGCTTGGGCAGAATCCAAGGTTTCCAGCCGAATCTCAGAGGAGCGACCGTTACGTCCTGGCATCATTTTACGCATAATAGGGTCGGTCTTAGGGAAATGGAAAATCAATTGTATTCTGTAAGGCCAGGTACTTCGAAGGTACTACGTGGATGCAGTCTGCTTCAGCACTGTCAATAGCGCAGATCCTTGTTTCCAGCGCTACGATATATTAGAAAACTTGGACTATTAGACACCTTTCGAAAATGATGACTTCGCTGGGACCGTTGCCGCGAGCGAAAGCCTGAGTCACTGCTTAGTGCGACCGTACCACCTTGTTACCGGTAGCGAGCATCTAGCATGCATAAAAGACATGTACAACTTGTACTACACGAAGCTTTTTAGAACCAAATGCTAGCTGAGAGGAGCGATTAGGCGAATCGATTGAACCTTGCTGCCCAAAGGCATGGACGTGAGAATGCAGGTCAAATGTACAAAAGTTCTTAAAACGCATTGAGTTTATTACAGAGTAACTAGCCGAGCGCCGCCGCTACGCGGCGGTAAATTAGGTTTAGTTCTACACGTTTTGGTATTCCCGCCTCCGCTACGCTTCGGCGGGATAACTATAAAAAAAACGCTGAGCCCATGTGTACCTAAATCGATTATTTTTAATTTATTAATGGCACTCGTTATCTAGCCCGACTGGGTGTGAAAGAGTCAGGCTACATTGCCCGACCCAACCCGACGGATGCCCGACTGACCCCGACTAGATAAAGGTTCAGTTGTGCAATCACAGGAAACGCACTCCAAGTATACGTGTCCAGCGCGTATACACGGATATTAAGACTCTGAATCTGACGAAGAGGGCAAAGCATTCAATGTACTCCGTTCACAGCGGATCCAACTTAGCACTCAAAAACGTTTTTCTAAAGTAAAACGATTGCTAACTTGTTAGGCTTACGCGCACATGCAGAGGTATCGATAGCGCAAATACTGTAGTTCCTTTCTGTTCAGGTAGCTAAGTCCGTCGGCCCCAGCAAACACTTCAAACGCCAGCAAGACATACATCCCGCAGTTAAAACTGTCGACCTGAACGCCTAGATTTCCACGATAGGGAGAGACACGATACTTTCGTGGGGCGAAATTTGGCAGCTGGGTCACTATCTTCTCAGTAAGCGCTCGGACTCCAATCATGTATGTAGAAGCCATTGGGTCGTACACGGCTGCCTCTGTGCGCCCCACATCCACCATAATACCACACCAATGGTTCTTGCTGCAGCATACAGGGATCAGAATTTTCTCCGTCGACAAGTT